CCCCCCTCCTCCTTTTGCGACCCATTAAACGTCTTCTATACATTTCCTCTTCATCTTGTCAAGGCCAGTTGCTCTATGACTGCTGGTTTCCCAGGCAAATCACACCAATTTCTGAGTTGATGTTGAAGGTCCACATTGGCTCAGCAGGGGTCCCAGCAAAGCACTCATCCATGGAGCCGGAGGTCAGGCTCTGCCCTGCTTCGCCAGCTGAATTATTATGATTTTTTTTTTAAAGTCGTGTTGTTCTTTGAACATTTACAGATCTGTTGGCGACGGGGATAACAACAATAACCAAAGAAAGGGCGTCCTCGCTGCAGACACGCTTCTGAGCCTTTCTGAGAGCGAGGATGCTGAGCGGGATGCAGCTCCTCCAGCTTGCTTGCAGCCAGAACTCGTAAAGAGAGAGGTTTTCAGAGGAGGCTGCCGGGGTGCAATGTGCAACCCCCCACAGCCAGCACAGGCCAGGGCTTTGCCCCGGGCGCCTGCTGCACAGCCGTGCCCCTCGGGCTCTGTCCACGCATGTCCGAGCTTGCATTCCCATTTTAAAAACATCATTTGCTTAAGGGTGTCTGGCTGCCTCATCTGTGCCTGGCCCGGGAGTGTGGCACACACACAGCCGTGGGCACCCGTGTCCCTGTGCGGGCTGACACGCTCTGGGTGTGCACAGGCAGGACTGCGAGCGCTGCCCCACGCCCCCAGCCCTGCCTGTGCAGGGCTCAGAAAGAAAATAAACCTGGTTCCTCCTTTTGCACACTTACGCTCTTTTTCCCCCCTCTTTCCCTTCCCCTTTGCCACCTTTAACATTTTTAATTAAATTACAAGCTTCAATAATGTTTTCCTAACTACAGTTGCCCGCTTCCTTGTAGAGTAGTGTGTGGAAAGGTATAATTTTGCAAACAGTTTCTTTAAGAGCTGGGCCTGAAGTACCATCAGCGATGTGTGTGAATAGAAAAAGAAACACCTCCACAAAAGAAGGGATTGTTAATGGAGGACAATCCAAAGGGGGCCCACTAAGGCCTGTCCTTTACAATAAGGATGGAGGGAGATGATTTGAATGCAGGGGGCCCTACTTGCAAATCTGGACAAAAACAAAATGGTAATAAGGGTTGAATCCCTCACTGGTCAAAGCAGTGGGCAGCAACTGGTCTCTTTAACTCCCCCCACCCCCTCCTTCTCCCAAATCAGACCCCAAACAAGAGGAACTCTCCTCCTCTTTAACTTCATTTCCTTGATTAGCTCTAAAAAAATAATCACCCGGGTGGACTTGGGGGAAATTTCTGAGGGCTGTTTGAAGGGAGAGCGCTCCTGTTGTGCAGGTGCTGAGGGACGAGCCTGGCTGCGGGCAGGTAAGCACCGAGGGGATTCTCTTTCTTAGCGCGGGTTCCGAGGCAGGAGCTGGGCTGCAGCTCTGCAGGGCCCTTCCAGCGGTGCAGGGACGGCTGCACGCAGGGATGCTCCGCTGAGAGGCTCCTGCCTCCCCGCCTGCCCTGCCTCCAGATGTTGCATCATTTCGCGGGGTCAGTTCATTTTACACCGCTGCTTGTGGCTCCCTCGTCTTGGAGCCAATTAAACCCTCACGTTTGAGGGGGGGATGTGGGGGGAATTGATGCTAACAGTGCTGTGTTTAAATGCTGCTCTGCCCTGATTTAACAGGGTTTCTGCAAAATGTTGGGAAGTGGCTCTGGGAAAGTGAGTGCAGGTCTGCCTGCATTGAGGGCTGTGGGAGGGGGATCTGGCTGGGAATGGGCCCCGAATGCTGGGAAAGGGGGTGCGAGGGCTGGAGACATCCCTGTCTGATGCTGCCCACCCACTCAAGGACCCTCACAATTCCCTGCCCCCATCCCCATCCCCATCCCTGTCCCTCTGACTTTTGCTTTCCTCTGCACTCCCCCAAACTCAGCCCAGCTGTTGGTGTTCGGGGGGGATGTGCAGGAGAGGGGTGGTCAAGGTTTCCCCCATCCCTTGGCACAGCTTTTGACCCCCCAGGCCTGCTGCCCCTGCCCTACTCTCTGCTCAGGCACCCCACAGCCAAGCACGGATCTGCCTCGGGGGGGGTGGGGGGAAATGGGAACAAATTCCCCCATGGCTCTGGTGGGCACAGAGCCCACCACAGCCCCTCTCCCATACATGGGACTCTGACAAGGTGTTGGGGCAGCTTTACAGCTCCTTCCTCATGGGTGTGCTGAGTGAACTGGAGTTTGTTTATATATTTATATGACGCATAGATAGTGGGGTGGCACATCTCCCTGCATGGCCAGGCTGTGTGTGAGTTCATCCTGTAACAGCCTGCATGCTCCACATCCCCCCAGCTGTGTTGGTGCAGCCTGCACGGCTCACTCAGAGCCTGCAGGACACAGCAGAACAGATCTGTAAAATCCCTACAGCTCCCGTGGGCTCTGAGCCGGGCTGGCTGTGCTGCTGTCCATCTGTCCAGACACAAGGACATGTCTTGCCCTCAGAGGTGTAATTTCACCATTTCATGTGTGAATTCTGGTGTTGTTCTCTCAGCTGCCCCTGCAGAAGTTGAGCAGCTCGATCATTCCTCCACTTGGGAGTGGTGACTGAGCAGGGGCTGAGGCAAGGCTGAGCTGGAAACCCCCACTCAGTGGGGCTGGAGCAGCCCTGTGCCCCCTCCCTCTAATCCCACATCCCTTCCTGCGGGTATCTTCAATACTCAGTGTCTGGGAGAGCAGCCTGACATTAGGGAGTGCCCCCAGGTAGGCTATGGGAAGAGCTTTTTCCTAGGAGAAAATAGGAAACCACCACATTTCTGATTGTTGTTTTTGCTCTTAGGAAGTGTGTTTATCCTGAGCCATCCGTAGGAATGTGGTCCTGGCCATGAGGGCTTTGGAGAGATTATTTTACCCTAAGAAATGGAGTGAAAACAGGGTTGGCGTTGTGGGTTTCCTCCTCGCTTACTGAATCAGCCCATCTCTAGCAAAGGTCCCAGTAAAGGGATCAGGCACATTCCTGTGTCTGATGCCACTCTCCAAGCAACTGCTGAGGGGACAAATACCCATTAGTGCTTTCCTGAGCATCCCTGTCTTCCCCTCTCCCCCTTCCTTTATTTACCAAAAGCGCTTTGAGAGAGAGAAAAGATCTCCCACCCACCTCAAGTTTCACCTCTCCTTATATATTTACCCTAAAAATAGGAGCCCCTAACGGCGGTAGGAGCCTGTTTGATGCAAGAGAGCTTCCCAAACACCTTCAGCTGGTGTGAGCAGCCCGGCAGCGGCTCCCGGCTCTGCTCCGAGCCGCTGCAGCAGCGCCTGAGCCGCACATCCCGAGCTGGGGACAAGGCAGCGCAGGGACCTGCGGGTACCACCCCGCAGACACCTCTGCCTGGCGTTCCTCTGTCACAAGAGTGACGATCTGAGTGACAGGGAGGCACCTCGGAGTTGATTACGACAGAGTAAAACTCCTTCATCTCTGCTGCTGCAGCGTCACCCCCGTATTTTCTCCAGCGGAGTTTTAGCAGGGGGAAATGTTTTGTGCGCATTGAACCGCTGCTTTGGTGCTGCCTCCAACCATCTAATTGGAATTGTGGGTAGAGGGGTTCATCCCGGGGTTGGGTGGGCTGAGTTGGGGGCTGTAGTTTCCAGAGGGAACAGTGTGCATGCGAACAGCAGCCCTGGTGCTGCGGGAGGGGTGCTGGGACGCCGGGGGATGCTCGGGGGTGGGGGTTTGCCAGTCCTGCTCCCCCTCCCCACCCCCGTGAAATGCGCTGATAATCTCACATTAATGCCGAGATCCAAGGCAGAGAAATAATGCAAAATAATTCTTTGCACGGGGAGAATTCGTATAATGGGAAATGCAAACTCCAATGTTCCTCCTTCAGACAAAACAAGACTATATCTAACAATGCCTTGTTAAAAATAAAGAGGAAATCTATTAATGTTATAACTAAATTGCTATTATAGGCATCAAAGCACCCTGATGCTTTGAGGTAACTTTATTTCCATCAGTCTTTTTAAAGAACACAACACTATAAAAAAAATAAAATCCCCCACCATCCCGCCTCACCCAAACGCTGCCATTTTACTCATTAATTTTATAATTAATCAGTTAAGAAGTTCTGACTTATTGGATTAAAGGGACGGGGAAATGCAATTCCGCCCAGCCTCATTTTAATAGGCGATTGTGAAATTGCTCTTTTGAGCCCGTGCCTCAGCTCCGCGACGGGGTGAGGGGGCGGCGGCCACGGAGCTCCGGGGCCGGGGGGACCCTCGGGGGGACCCTCGGGGGGATCCTCGGGGGGACCCTCCTCGCTCCCGGCTCGGGGAGGGCCCAGGGGAGCGGCTCTCACCCCTCTGCAGCTGGGGGACAGCAGCCCTGGGTGGGACTGGGCGTTCTCCTGTCCCCAGGGGCTGCGGGCATCCCTCCCTGCCCTCCGCAGCCTGCGGGCACAGAGGGGTCTCTGTTGGCACAGACACCATCCTCGGCCCAAAATTCAGGGACAGAACCCTGTTCCCCCCTCACCCTCCCCCGTGCCTGTCTCTGCTCTCCCTGCCTTGCTGTCCCTGCCCTGCCTGTTTGTGTCCTTGTCCTGCCTCTGCCTGCCTGGCTTGATGCTGCCCTGGCTGTCCCAACCTGCCCCTGCCCTGCCTGTCCCTGTCGCCTCCCTGAGCCCCGGAGGTCCCCTGCCACTGTCCTGCTCCGGGGACAGCCGTGGATGGGGCTGGAAGGAGATCGGCCGCGTTTTGGGGTGGCTCCAGCGCATCCATCGAGCGCCTGGGGGCGGATTTCCAGGGGATCCGGCCTCTCCCCAACACCCAGCGAAGGGCTCGTGGTGTTTTTTCCCTAAATGGAGCCCTGAGCGGATGAGGCTGTGTGTCCCAGAGTGCCAGCCCCGGTGTCACAGCACGGTGACCTGCTGCAGGCTGTCTCCAAAGGCGCTGGGTTTGTCCTTGCCGCGGTGATCGGCTGCGCTCAGCCCTGCCCAGCCCCGCGGACCGACAGAGGCAGGAGCCACAGCAAACAGCCAGGGATATTTCTTTAAATTTTTCTTTTTTTTTTTTCTTTTTTTTTTTTTTTTTAACAATACGCGCTTTGCAATTATACACGTCCAATGGATTATTTCTCTACCTCTGCCTTTGATCTTTTCAAAACTAGACAGCTTTAAAAATATCATCCCTCTGTTTTCAGCCATTTTGCAGTTCTTGTACAATTAATGTACTGCAGCAATCCACTTAGTTTCTTCTTCTTCTTCCAATTCTTTCCAGAGCAAACAGGCACTCCTGTCCACACTGTCCCAGTGAGATTTATTTCTTCTCTCTGCTTGTGTCATCACCAACACCCTAGAATAAAAAAGTACATATTTTGCTGGACAATTTTGATGAAATCAGGGATGAGATGTAAACCCGCTGCCCCGACCTTACCACACAAAGTCTGTTACTATTATTAATCTGTAAACTCCACAAAACTTACATACATAAATGCATGATTTAGCTAATTATTTACTAAAGATTTTTTTTTTAGCAGTGCAGCAAATCTCTGGAGTTTCTGCATTTGCTTTGCACTTAAAAGAAGTTGGTGCAAATGAAATCAGCACATTAAAGTGCATCTTTCATTAGAGGACAGGGAGCAGGGAGAAAATCTGTCCCACCTGTCTCCATGCCATTTATCAGGTGACCTTGGAGCAGATCATTCATGTGGAGTTCTGTGCTTGGGTATTCTTATTCCTCATATTATTATCTCCTCTTCTTTACTTTATTGTCAAAATTCCCAGCCTCTCCCAAGGTACTCAGGGAAAATCCTCAGGGTTGAAGCACTTTCCTTGGCTTTGCTGCTAGAGATGTGGGCTGGTGCCTCCAGAGCTGGAAGGGGCAGAGGAATGGGAATCCACACCAGGCTCTCCAGCACTGAGGGAAATTCTGCTTCTCATTTGATGGAGGTAGTAAAAAGTAAAAAAGCAAGAGTTTTTCTAGGAGAAGAGATGGGGTAAGAGGTTAAGTGATACTGAGTAGATTTTTACATAAAAAAAAGCACAGTAAATGTTGTAAATATTGTCCCTTCTCGTGCTCTGCACAGACCTGAGAGGAAGGGAGAGCTGGGGAGGTGGCTGTGGCAGGGAGCCCATGCAGGACCTGCCTGTGGAGATGTCAGGTCCAGGCTCGGCTCACTGCCAGCAGGGAAAGATTAGCTGAATGTCACCCTCTCTGGCAATGAAACCTTTCTTTATCACTTCCAGCCCTGCCTCTTACCCTGCTTGGCTTCTCCCGCCCTGTCCCCCTAAACCATTTCCATTGTCCCTCGTAAAAAGATGAGCAGACACCTTGTCCTGCCTCTTTCTTTTCTTTCTCTCTTTCCCTTGCACTGGTCTCTGCTCCTGCACTTCTCTCTGGCAGCCCCTGCCCTCTGTCCCTCTGCAAACCTTTGCTGTGAGCGAGCTGCTCTCGGCAGGCATGGAGATGGTAAAATCCACTGCCTTGGCTCTTTCTACCCCTGCAGATCTTTCCTCAGTGAGACACAAGAGAGACAGAGAGATCATAAAGGCATTTTCTCTCTCAGCCTAAGCCATGAATTTTAAGTCCTCAGGACAGAGACTATTTCATATCATGAGTGTTTGTGCAGATTCAGCACAAGGCAGCGACCACACTGTTATTTTCCCAGTATTTTCACTTCCCTGACTCCTACAGTGCCACTGTTTCATCTTTACTGAAGAGCTGTATTTTTCACATGGCTTTTTTTTTTCTCCCATGCATTTGTCTGACTTGCTCTTCGGTGTTTATAGTTTAAGACATATTGTTTATTATTTATAATATTAATAACAGGTATCATCCTGCTATAGCAATTAAATAATTACAGAACCCATTCTGGTCTGGTCAGACAGAATGTCCCATATGGCAGATATATACCTCAGAATGCACAGAGCTAAATATGAACAGAGCCAGGCACTAAATGTTAGGTTTATCTTCCCATAAACTTAAATATGTGCATTTCTTACTCAGTAGGATCCTCCACAGACCCATAAAGCAAGTGACAGAGTCATCTCCTCTTAAGATGCTCTAAGAGCTTGGAGAAATTTGTTAGGAGTGCTACTTCTGTAGGCACTTGTTACCATGAATTCATGATGAGATTCACTGTTTGCCTTTACATCCCCTTCCCTGGGCTTTCCCAAGCCTGCTGCAGCCTCTCCTTGGAATCAGGGCATCCATTTGTGACACTGGGCTTCTGAGGCAGTGCCTAAAAGGATCAGGACCTTCACTCCCCAGCAGCTGATCCATTGCAAAAAGGTCCTTGTGCCACCCTGCTCCACCCCCTCACCTGCCCGAGAGTCACTGGAGCTGGGGCAGATGCCTGGGCCAAGGCACACCCCAGATGGTGCAGCACATGGATGTTAAACTCGGGAAGTAGGAGAGCCCAGCCTGCCTGAGAAAGCATCTCCCCACTCATCCATCCTTCACTGACTCCCTACTCGGCAGCAGATGTGATTTCATTATGGCACAAGGAGTTCCCAAGGCTCAGCGAGGCTGGCGGCGGCAGAGACCCTTCGCTGCATTGAATCACAGCCATTCGCAAATGCCAAGTGGATTTTTCTCCCTCTCAAATCAAGGAGAGAGGTTGAAGATAGTCAGAAGAAAGCCAAAGATGTGGAAGGTCTGAAGGGTGTTTTCCATGCCTGAAGGTCTGTGTTAGTTTTAACTGAGGTAGCCAGAGCTCTCCGTCCCTGCATCCCCACCACCCTTCTGATGAAGGGAGAGGAGTTGAATTTTCAGCCTTTTCATTTTGCTCCTTTCCCATGACATGACAGCTCTAACCCAGCAGCAAATTCATTATTTTGCGGCCTGATTTAATTCCTGGACTTTTCCTTCCCCTCAGACTCTGTTGTTCTCTTGCATGTGTGATAATTCAAGATAATTATGAATTAGCAGAGCCGAATTCTGCACGGTGCAGAGCCGACCATGACCATCGCTCGCAGACCCTCAGAGTGGGAGGCCCGATACAGTCACCACTGAAAACAATATTAATCACTTCCTTTCACCTTGCTGCCACTTAGCTCAGATCATAGTTAGAGCCAACCCAAGGACAAGATTAAAAACCTCACATCAGTGAACGCAGATACCAATGAAATCTGCAGAGCTTAACCAGCTCCTACGAGCTGAGGATGGAAGGTGACACCTGGGCCACACCGATATCTCTGAGGTTTTGATCCAAAGATTGGAAGCTTCTAGACAGGCCACAAATGGAAAAGTGATGGTTATCCAAACTTTAAATATCTTCTTCTGTCTTGGTGATAGAAACCTTTAAAAGGTTAAAAATAAGTGATTCGTTGGAGTCAGAGTAAATAGTATCAGAAAAAGAGATGTTCACTCACAAAAATGTGAGTATTTTTTCCTTTTTACTTTTTTCTGGACTCTGTGTCTGAAGAACAAAGTTTATCCAGACCCCAAAGTCTAAACTGGACATAGCCCTATGGAAGTGGACCATGAAATTCTAACATTTCTTTTAAGAAGGGAAAACACTATTTTTTGGTGCATTATTTCAACAAATCTAATTTCTACATCTGAATACACACCCCAAATTTCAGTGAGGTGTCTGTGCCCAGAAAAAATCAAGCTCTGAATATTTTTCAGAATTCCTCTGTAGGAATTTGCATGACCTGTTCAGAAAATTTGAAATGCCAGTGTTGGGGAAAGGAAACAGACTGTTCATGACCTACAATTGTATGTGGAGAGAATCAGATGATATAGCTACAAGGTCATAAATACTGTGAATATTAAAATTAATAGCAGAGCTCTTGAGTTAATGAAAAGCCAGTTAGGGCAATAAACATCTGAAAGAATAGATATGAACAAACATCCATCTTAGTTCATAGAAGAAGGGCTGTTTACAGCTCTCCCAGATTTTAGGGCCAGTTCCTGTTGGAGTGGGCAGCAAATGAGTGATTCAGATGGTTGTGGTGCTGGAATTTCTCAATGATGTACAACTGAGTCCAACAATGGGTGTCCCTGGCTGGCTGCTGAGTATCCATGAAAACCAGAGATGCTGCACTTTCCTGGTCCAACACGTGTGTGGCTCTGTTCCTACCCCTGACAGCCTTGGCACAGCCTCAGCTAATGGGTTGTACACAAGGGAGATGTGAATATATGACAAAAGAGAGTCCAGCTCCAACCCTGAAGGCAGAGCTTGAAATCTCCTCTGTGTTAATATCCAGCGCTGGCCTCTCTGCACAGCTGAGTCTGTATTCAAATAACAGCAGGTCAGTCAAGAATATCTCTCATCCCTGATTTTATTCCTCTCCAGCCTCTCTCTGCACATGTTTTTTATCCAGAAGAGAGCTCATGCCCAAGTTAAGCATTCACCTCTGTGGCGTGATGTCCAACTCGGCCACTTTGTGCTGCATCCAGGGGACAATCTGTGTGTCCCCAGAGCACTGAATGTCACCCCAGGTACAAGTGGGGAAGGGAAGAAGGCTGCAGTTTGCATTTTAAATCCTGAAAACATATTTTAAGGGCTCTGCTTCTGTCTGTTCTCTAGTTTCTGAGAAAAACTCAGCTAAGGGAAGATTTTGGTAGAAACCCAAAACTGACATTCGCCTGCCTTTTCCAGGTAATGCATATGCATGCATGCAAAACTCAGGCATTGGTTGTTTCTGCCTCAGGATTAAAAGCTATGGCATGCACAGAAATAGAAGCCCATCTTTACAAAATTGCTTTTGAAAATCCCATATGCCAGTTGCATACCCTGCAAAGATGTAGAGCTTGAGTAGTGGTACAGGGATGGGGCTGCTAGCCAGGAGCATGAGCAGTAAGCTCAGCTTCCCTGCAGGTCTGTTCTTTGTCTTTGGGTCATTTTTACTTCCCCAGCCTGTTCTTCCATCTCTGCAAGTGAGGAGGTTAATGCTAAGTATTTATTTGTGTCTCAGAACAGTCCTCAACAGCAACACTTTGTTTGTGACCAGCAGCTTGACCCCACGTCTGCCAAAATAACCTGAATTCCTACAAAGGGACTTTTATGTTTAGCATGTACAAGAAATACAGGGATGGCTCTGGAAGCTGCTGCTTAAAACCCAGGTGGGGTTTAAAGGGCTAAATGGCACATCAGATTACCAGGAGTTATGTCAGAAGATGATGTGTAGGAAAACCAGGAAAAATGTGAGAGTGTTTTGGAAGAGAAATAAAAGTATCCCAAACCCCTCTGCAATTTCAGCCCAGAGGCAGCCCTGGCTTTGGTTGTTGCTAGGAAAACAGCAAACCCCAAATCCTGGTTGTTCTCCATCCCACTTTGAACGATTTCTGGGTAGAATAAATCTTCCCTGCTTTTAAAATAAATGAGAGAGCTTCACAATGCCAAGGCCATTTAAATGTACAGCGAAATAAGGCCAGGAAACGATCCGGGTTCCAATCTGTATTCCCGGTGTTTTCCTGCAGCTGAGGAACAAACACTCTGTGACACTTTGGCTGTGGCTTGGGGTGCCCTGGCAGGATGGCTGGGATGTAAAAGCGAGCCTGAAGGAGCTGTCTGGGGGAAAATGGCATTTTCCTTTCCTGGCAAGATGCAAAGGGAGCAGCATCCCGAGCAAGGCCGTGCCCTGTGAGGGGTTTGTGCCTTTCCTGGCTGTGGGATGGGGCAGCGGGGCCGGGCTGCTGCTCCCGCCTGCCTCCCCCAAGGCTTTGTTTCCCACAAAAGATGAACCTTGCCGGGAATGCTGCGAGCAGTGCGGGAAGGATTCAGCAGCTGAAGGGTTCCTGGGGTTTTGTCAAGCGCAATTGGAACAAAAAACCAGCACCAAATCAAACCAACCCCCCCACCTGAACGAAACAAACCAGAGGAACATTGTGGATAAAACCTGGGATGATTTAGGGTTTGAGTTTTCAGTCAGGAGACTGGAAATAGTGGAATGGTTCTCTCTTGCCCTTCCTTGAGCGGTGTTGCAGTATTTTGGGGTATGCATTTTTCCTCTTTCCAGACTTCTATCACAGAAAGGATTTCTTTGGCTTGTTTTGGGAGGTCTGGGAATTGCTATTTTCTTTCCCTTCAAAGCTCCTATTGGAAATGTCAAGACCCTTCCTGTCTATTTTCCTCGCCATTCATTAATCCATTTGATTTAGTTTTGTTTGATGGAAAGGAGGTGTTTCCTCCTTATTTCTAGCAAAATTCTCCAGTCTGCTTTTGTAGCTGCTGCAGCTTTATTTTTGAAAACACGGCTTTTAATCTGAGAAAGCATTTTGAAGTGGCAAGTTTTTAGTATGGAAATTTGAATTTGCTATAAATGAGCTTTAAATGTGTTTGTGTGAGTCTTATTACAGAAGTTTTCTATTTCCCAGAACTTTCCTGGGGTTCAAAGTCAATCAAAGGAGATAGTCCTGCGGAAGGGTGATGGAAAATACCCTCTGTAGAAAGAATTTAAATAGGTTTAGTCTTTTTTGAAAGTTTTCAGCTTTTTAGGATCTGGGTTGGAGCCTCTTTCTCCTGTGATTAACTGGGGCATCCCTGTTGTCTTGATGGAAGTATAAACCAGTGCCTTGTTGCTAAAATCTTTTGAAGTCAGTTTGGAGGTTGAATGCTCAGAAACAAATTGCTAATGTGAAGCTGCAGAATCCTGGGAAAAAAAAATTATATTATCAGGCAGCTAAAAGAGCAACTGCCTGCTCAGGATGGTCTTAGAACAGAGATAGGTGGAATGAAAATGTGACCCCCCATAAATTGAATGTGAGGCTATGATATTTTTTGCAATATTTGTGTTTCCAGATCTGGAGCTCAAAAATGGGGTTTGAAGTTTTTGTGTCCATTGAGAGCAGATTTAGAGAATCTCCAGGTTCTTGCAGGATATGGTCTCATCCTTTGGATAGACAGAGTGCCAATAGAAGAGTGGCAAAGGAAGTGAAAGGCATGAAAGGAAGATGCAGATTAAACAGGTTTTTCACTCACTTCCCCCTCTCTTTCCTTGCATTGGGATGATTTCTATTTTATTTATGAATGTTGAAGAAAATAGCTTCCTTTTTTTCCTCTAACAAGAAAACTCCCAAAACCCACCCCCAAACCCCACCAAAAGCCAACTGGAAATCAGAGCTGATTTGAGCTGAGAAATCAACATCTGAAAACTCAGCTGAACTTACCCATTCCCTTTCCTGTCATTATTCTGCATAAGCTGGATCCATTTTTCCCCACTGCAATCAGCTGTGAAGGAGAACTTCCATCGATTTCAGCAGGAGCAAGCTAGAACATGTTAGATTTAAATATTTGAATCCTCTGCTGTGCTACCTAGGCATGTCAATCTGTCTTAATACTTTATTTCAGGTTATTATATCAACAAAATTCAGTGATATGCTGCAACAAAATTGCATTACATGCTGTCTCTGTGTTCTGAGCTATGATACTCCATACGCAGTGGCATCCCTCCTCTGAGTGTGTGACTGCATGTGAGCCCTGTCTCTAAATACATTTCAAATATGTTACATTTTTAATTCTTCAAGGAAAAAAAAAAAAGCCAAAATCCTGGAACAACAACCAACAAAACACATGCATTTTTTAGATTGTGAAAACAGATTCTCTCAAAATTGTATCTCAAATAATGCAGAGAGAAAGAGCAAAAGCTCTGGGGATGGGTATGAACTGCCAGACATCACAGAGAGCAGCACTACAGGGTCCTCCAGCCAAAAGAGAATCCAAATTAGTGACTTATATTGGGGATAAACAGGTCATGCACCACAAACATGATTCTGTAATTAAAACCTTCCCTGGTACAGACACAATTGATGCCCAGTGTGCG